AGTCATTAGGTTAGAATAAACTGTAGAACGAGCTCGGATACCTGGCATGTGGATATCATCAGAATTGAACTGGCAGGTTGGGCACTTTTTGACATAGTCCTGTGCGTCTTCGACCATAGTGGGCCAGTAATAACCATGCCTCAGTAATTTCCGAGCCAAAGTTCTGCCACCGATGTGCGTGCCACATACTCCCTCGTGAACTTCTCTCACAGCGTATTCAGCCTCGTAAGGAGTAAGGCAGCGTAATAGGGGTATTGAGGCTGCTCGCTTGTAGAGCTGGTTATCTAACACAGTGAAATGTGCCGCCCTGCGTTTAACCACTTTTGCAGCGGACTGGTCTTCGGGTAGCTCGCCACTTTGTAGATAACTCATAAGCGGGGTGATCCAGCTCGGTGCAGAGGGGTCTGTACTCAATAATTGGCACTCAACTGTGAAATCAGTGTAGCTCGGCGCGTCAAGCACCTCGACGATTGTTGATCTTTGAGGGTTAATGTCCTGCGAGGACGCCAGCTTTGACAGCTCGTCCGCTCGCTGGTTATCTGCCCGCGGTATTTTGTCGATCTGAAATGAAGCGAACCTGGACTTCAATCTGTCGACCACAGAGGCATAGCGACCGAGCTGGGGATCCCTTATGTCGCAACTGCCATTCACCTGGAGGACGACGAGCTGAGAGTCGCTGAAGACCTGAATGCTTTGTACCTTCAGCTCGGCTGCCAGCTTCAATCCATATATGAGGGCTTCATATTCTGCAGCATTATTGGTCGTCTGAAACTTAAACCTCAACGCATGCTCAGACTTGAAACCATCAGGGCTCAGTAATACAGCTCCAGCACCAGATCCTTCGACATTAGTAGCTCCATCCACATACAAAACCCAAAGTGGGTGTTCAGGTGCCTTTTCTCTCACAGCCGCCGGGGCACATTCAACTAGGAAGTCTGCCACAGCTTGGCCTTTTATAGTCGTGCGCGGCTGAAACTTAAGGTCATATTCACTCAGCTCGACACTCCATCCGATGAGCCGACCAGAGAGCTCTGGCTTCTGCAATATTTTCCTTAGTGGGAAATCAGTATACACAATAATCTGGTGTGATTGGAAGTAAGCTCTCAACTTACGGGCCGTGGAAACCAAGGCAAAAGCAGCTTTTTCTGCTAGTGGGTAGTTCTGCTCGGCACCTTGTAACACCTTACTCACGTAGCAGATAGGCTTCTGATGTTTATTTTCTTCCCTCAGTAGTACTGAACTCACTGCTTCCCCTGTTACCCCCAGATAAAGATATAAACATTCT